TCCAGACTTGTCACCTAGGCGTGTGTGCATGCCCAGGAGACCGGAGGTCAAGTGATTGTGACTGGGGCTCTCCCTTGGAGAGGGATTTCTCCCTCTGCTCTCTGCTCCCCACTCTTCCCTCTCCAGCAAGTACAAGTGCCCTGTACAAGAAGAAAGCTTAGCAGTGCCAGCTGCTGGGATGGTGGTGAAGTGACTGGATCCCACATGGCTGACTGTGTAGTTCAAGTCCCAGACCTGGTGGCTTGAAGAACACGCTGGGTGCGTGTGCATGTTTGCCCAAGCTCCCAAAAGAATGGAGAAGGGAATGCAGTATGGTCATCCCCCTGGGGAGTGTTTTGTCTCTCTCTCTCTGCCCCCAGAGAGCACATACCCCCTATGGCAAAATTTAAAAAATAAAAAGGCTTAACATTGAAAATATATTTGTACTTTAATTCCGTATTACTAATATATTTTGAGATTTGTTCTTTGGTTTGTTTGGCTTTTAGGTTTTTGCCATAGGCACATGTGCTCACCCTCAAGGGGAGGGGGATGGCCACGCCACAATCCCTTCTCCACTATCTTAAGAGAGTTCAGGCGCACACGCACATGAGCCCAGTGGAGTTTCAAGTTGCCTGGTTCAGGACTCGAACTGTGGTCAGACATGTGGGAATCCAGCCCGTTAACCACCATGCCACCTGCCGGTCCCATTCAAGTATTTATAGAAGTCAGAGCTAACAGTGAAATGTTCCCATTTTCACTTCAAAGCATGCAAGGCTCATTACCCAAAGTTGGCCTTTACCAATAAACTTGAAGGCAATAAAGCCATTTTTTTCTTCCACAGTCACTTTATCAAGTCTATTAAACTTCTCGAGGAACATTTAAAACATTTTTTTTCCCCTTATTCTAAAGGCCTCTACACTAACTTCAGTAAAACAATTTTGAGCTTGCTCTCCAGGCCTAAAACCTTTGCCAAGCGAATGTTCCCAGCCCCACGTACAGGTGCCAGGCACTAACTCAACCATGGGCCCCACATCTGAGTACACGCTACTCAGCAGAATCGGCTCGATGAACCCCGCTCTCTAGGATGGCAGTCACTCGGAAACCTAACCCCTCACACAAGGCGGCGTCTGAGCCAGTTTAGATGTTTCTAGGAGATGGCAGTGCCGTGCCTCAGCAAACGCCCTGAGCACTGACCGGTGCTCCCAGCGAAGCTGCGTGAGCTTTAGAGCGAGTGTTTTGGAAACAGCCCCGAGATGGTGCGTAGATGAATGGCACTGCTGGCAGGCGATGGGGAGAGACCAGGGATGTTAGATGTCCCCGGTGACGGGACAGTCCCACGCGAATCACAGGTGTGTGTTTTGTTTGTATATCAACAGAAGAGAATCCTGTTCACTATCTAGCCTGGACTACCACTTTTCCCATATAAACACAAAGTATTTTTCCACACCATTTCAAAATTCATTGGCGTTTCTGGGGCCAGCAGATGGCATGGTGGTTAAGGTGTTGGACTCCCACATGGCCGACTGCAGTTCAAGTCCTGGACCTGGTGGCTTGATTTTTCACTTTCTCTGCCCCTCTCTGGGCAAGTTAAAATAAATAAATAAAGTTCAATAAAATAATTCTTAAAAAAAGTTCTTCAAAACAAATAAAACCCATTGATGTTTCCAAATACACAACCGATACATTAATCAGAAGGCTACACTGTTTTGTTCAGGACTTTACTAAGCACAAGCCACCATCTGGGGGGATGGGTTGGGGTAGAGTCCTACCAGCAGTGATGTCCCCCACGTTTCTGTGTCTATGCTGTGTTGGTGCTGTCCCCACAGAGCCCTCACCTACTTAATGTCTTCTGGTGTGATTGTATCCAAGCATTTACGTACTGATATACAATTAAATTAGATACTATTTTTCCCATTTGTATTATATGTAAAAATTATTACATGCCCTTTAATTACATGTGTAGGACACATGTTTATAAAGTTTCAGTTCAGGGTAGTAAAGGGGTGTTTTGGTGGTTGTAATAAAAAGGTGCATGGGGAACCAGCAGTTAGTGTAATGGCTATGTCGCTGGACTCCCACGTAGTCAACCATGGTTCGCGTCCCGGACCCGGTGGCTTAAAACTCACGCCGGGCGCGTGTGTGTGCGTGCCCAAGATCCCGAGAGGAGAATGGAGGAGAAGGGACTGTGGCATGACCATCCCCCCTGGGGATGATTTCTCACTTTCTGTCTCTATGTCTCTCTCTGTCTGTCTGGCAAGCGCATGCGCCTTTTAGCAAAAAAAAAAAAAAAAAAATCTCTCTCTCAAAAAAAAAAGGTGTATGCATTTGCCAGTGAGACAACATGGTCACAAGACAATCCTTTTCTTCCATTTCGACATCCCATCAGGACTTGGGGCATGCTAGCACACACATGTGGCATGAGTCAAGGTCACCAGGGCCAGGATTCGAACCGTGGTCGGCCACATGGGATTTAGCTATCTGTGCATGACACTTAATCCCTGTGCCAAGGGGCCATGCCAGGACACCGTGTTTAGAGAAAGCAAGCAACAGGGCTGATTCGGTAAGCTTTACTCACTTAGATGTCGGCTGTCATGCAAGAATGCAACTTGCACAGATGGGAAATTTAAACAGCTAAAGATGACTCACACTTGTTTCCAATACACTAGTAAAATTAAATTCAACATCATTTAATCAAATGGAAGAAAACCGGATAAATTTTAACTTCTGTGTTAGCCGTAAACGCCACAGCATGTTCCGAGGAATGACACGCAGCAAACTTTCAGATGGCTATGCAGAGCTGCGACCGCCCCAGGACAGGCAGGGGCAGGGCTGCTCGGCTCTGTGTCCACCGACGGCCCCGATGCTGACGTACAACATAAAACGGGCTGTCAGGCGGCGGGACTGGGGTATCGTCTGTGTGGAAAACCAACTTTCCACCACCATCTTCCAGGTTTCATTTACATCTGTTACACTGACTAATGTAACCTGACACTACTTCGGGCTTCACTGTAAAGCTCAATATTTGGTTCATATTTTCTGTAACTTTTTTTTTTTTAAGAGATTTTTGCTATAGGGTGTCTGTACGTGCCAGAAACAGAAAGAAAGGTGAGAGATAACCCCTAGGAGGGATGGCCATGCTGCAATCCTTTCCCTTCCCTTCTCTCGGATGCACATGTACCTGGCGTGAGTTTTAAGCTGCAGGGTCTGGGACTCAAACCACCATGGTCGATTACGTGGGAGTCCAGCGACGTAACCATTATGCTATCTGCTGGTCCCAGATGTAATTTTTTTAAAAGGTCAAACAAAGGACCATCAGGTGGCATGGTGGGTTAAGTGTGCTGGACTCCCATATGGCCAACTGCAGTTTGAGTCCCTGCTTTTTCTTTTGGAGAGGTTTTTGCTATAGGGTGTGTGCGCATGCTAGACAGACAGCGATAAATCACCCCCCCGGGGGGATGGCCATGCAGCAATCCCTTCTCCTCCATTCTCCTCTCGGGATCTTGGGCTCGCACGCACACGTGCCTGGCGTGAGTTCAAGCCACCGGGTCCGGGACTCGAACCGTGGTAGACTACGTGGGAGTCCAGTGACATAGCCATTACGCTAACTGCTGGTCCCACAACTTGCTTTCTCATTCTCTCTGTGTCCTTCTCTGATCCAATTTAAAATAATAAAAAAAAAAAAATGACATAAAATAATTCTTTAAAAAAACAGGTCAAACAAAACATTACTGAAATAGTTCACTGCACAAAGATACACACAATTAAATGGCCAAACCTATTTAATTTTTCAACATAAAGACACGTGTAAAAAATATACATAAACAAAAATTTCCAAATAAATCTGATTTAAAAAGCAAGCACTACAGGGTTGGCAGGTGGTGTGATGGTTATGGTGCTGAATCTCACATGACCAACTATGGTTCAACTCTCAGACCTGGTGGCTTGCTTTCTCACTCCCTCCACCCCACCCCCACGAGTCTTTCTCTGGTCAAATTAAATAATAAATAAGATAAAATAATTCACTTTTAAAAAAGCAGGCACTATGAAAACATACACAATTTTAAACTTTTTATTGTATTACATTAAAAAAAATGATGTGTCTACGTCTCTTAGAGTCAGAATGACAACTCCCAAATCTGAAGATGTGAATATTTAAGTTTATGGTTTTTGTCTACTTTTAAAAATGAGCTGCAGAGAGGGAGGGAGAAAACACCTCCGAAGGGGTGTGGTCACGCCACAACCCCTTCTCCTCCATCTCTCCACTCTGCTGGGATTTGGAGCAGGCACACACATGCCAGGCATGTTTTTCAAAGTCACAGGGTCTGGGACTTGAATTGCTTAAAGCTGGCCCAAGGCTTTTTTTTTTTTTTTGAGAGAGATTTTTGCTACAGGGCATGTGCACTGGTCGGAGAGACAGGAAGTGAGAAATCACTCCCAAGGAGGATGGCCATGCTGCAATCCCTTCTCCTCTTGGGATTTTGGGCACACATGCGTGCACACACGCCTGCAGTTGACCACGTGCCGGTGATGTCACCATTATACCATCTGCTGGTCCCGGTTTTTATCTTTTAAATTCATATCAGTAGCTTCTATTACACAAGAATACAAAATAAAATTGTGGTCTAAATTATTATAAAATAATCTCTCCTAAATGTGAATGGGATTGATGAAATACATGTTTTTTCTTCTACTAACATGTTTCCAGGTAATAAAGTTTAAATTCTTTATTGCCAAACAAGTTTATGAATTTTTAAAAATTGAATGTTGGGGTCAATAGGTGGTATAGTGGTTAGAGTGCTGGATTCCCACATGGCCAACCACAGTTTGAGTCCCGGACCTGGTGGTTTGCTTTCTCACTTACTCTTTTTCTGTCTTTGTCTAGTTAAACAAACAAACAAGATAATAATAATAGCAAGTAAAAGTAAATAAATAATTAAAAAAAAATCATTTACTGTGCACATTAGTTTATTAACATAAGTTAGGTTGTACATGAAACTGCAATAATGACCATTCAACTAAGGTCAAGGTAAATAGAATAAACCATTTATTAGAACATGATAAAATAAACTTTTTGAACCAAAGCTACAACGGTAAACTTTTTCCCTTGTTAACACAGTTCAATCACAACATAATCTAACCAGAGCTAGAGAACACTTCCGTCCTTCCCACTCAATGACTGAACGGTGATGCGAGCGAAGACCCGGGTTTTCTTGATGAGTCAGACGTAACTTGGAGGACAAGCGAATCTCATTTACCCAGAAGTTAAATTTTATTAATATTTATCCTGCTCACTGGTCCGAATTGAAAATTCTCAAATATAGACGTCATGGATCATCCTCCCTTCCCACCAAAAGTAAGTATCAGGAACAAATTAAGGATAAGGATTTAAACTGCACTTTGTTACTATTACATTCTCTGTTTAACTGGTCAACCATGAGCGTGCACAAAGTTCTCTGAATGAACGGCCTCCACAGCCCCCGCCTACAAACCGGTGTATTATAAAGGCCATTCCATTTGGAGCTTGCTCCTTTTTTTTTTTTAAGCACTTCTGAGCAGTGTGTATGACACACACTACAGAGGTAGGAAAGACGATCTTTAATAAATTACCTTCTTAATTGTAGAGGATTTCTGAAAATAAACTGAGAAACGTTAAGCCAGGCCTCGCGGAGTCCCAAAGGCCCACAGGCCCGTGGCCTCCTACGTGAAGAGTGGACTCCCTGGAGTGTTCCGGCTTTCTCAGGGCACTTGGTAACCAGCTGTACCAGGGCTCTCCTGGATAACTGCACCAAGGACGCTTCCTCGCTCTCACTTGCCGATTCTCTGGACCACCCAGTCCTGCTGGCAGAGAGGGCAGCGATTGTTCTGTTTCACCCACAGGGACATGCAGCAGTTATGGAAGGAATGATTACATTCTCCCCAGACCACTGAAAGAAAGAAGCGTTGGTATTAGGTATTTTTAACTTGAATTATTAAACTCAAAGTTACAGCAATTTTACACTATGATTAACAGTCATGGTTTGTACACCCCTATTCTAGAATCAAAGGGTCATTTGACGACCTCCAGTTGCGATGTAATGTCATGTGCTTGCTGTCCTCCTGAAGTCTGGAGGTGGAAGGATTTGAGCCTTCCTTAGATCTCAGATTTCTGTCATGCAAAGACCTCAGAGATCTTTTGGTCTCTATTTTATTAACAAATATTCTCCCAACTTATCTGCCAAGATATAATGTGTGTGTGCGTGTGTGCACGTGTAATCAGTGAGAGATAGAGACAGACATAATGAGAGGGAAAGCGAGAAATCAACTCCCTGGGGATGGAGGGGATGGCCACTCTGCAATCCCTTCTCCATTCTCCTCCTGCAATTTTAGGCATGCATGTACATGCATCAGAGTGAATTTCAAGCTTCCAAACCTAGGACTTGAACTGCAGTTGGCCATGCAGGAGTCCAGTACTTTAATCGCCACGGCACCTGCTGGTCCGGATGATATACTTTTAAATGTTATCGGTTCTACAACTTTTAAATTCTTTTCTAGAAGTGCTAAACTGTGTTAACTCATCTATAAGCAGTTCAATTTTTCAGGTGACAAATGAACAAACAAAAATTCCAAGTGGCTGGCTAGAAAGAGGTCTTCGTGATTAAACAAAGCGGCCCAACCCTCATCATTCACAAATTAGTATTTTTTTTAAACAAGCAGCATAAAAGCAAAATTTTAAACCAAGGGAAATCACCCACAATGTGGAATATGATCTCCAATCTGGGATTAATCTGTCCCTTGCTGGACCAACTCAATGGATCAAGATTAAATGGGAAAAAAAGGGGAGGGGAATCTTATGAAAATTGCCTGTCAAGGATAGAAGCAAGGGGGAGATTTTCTAAGTGTTTCAATGAGAAACAAAATTTGGTCAATACTGTGTAAATAATTAGTAAAGGTGTAGTAAATCATGCAAATCCAAACTCCAAAGTTAACCTTTAATTCTAGGAATATCCAAATAGATAGCAATCTACAAGTGTTGGTATCAAGAAACAGGACATCAAAACCTCTGAACAGCTTCAAGTACTTAGCCCAAGTAGTCAACTCTTATAATCTAAGACTATGAGGAAAAATAATTTCAATACAAGAACTACATTCCAAAAAACATATTCAGGGGGCTGGCAGGTAGCGTGGTGGCTAAAGGTGCTGGACTCCCACATGGCTGACCACGGTTCGAGTCCTGGGCCTGGCAGCCTGCTTTCTCACTTTCTCCCTCGTTCTGTTCTCTGTATCTCTCTGGTCAAATTAAAAATATAGAAATAAATAAAATTAAATAAATAATTATTAAAAAAAACATACTCAGGACTTAAGAGTTCATTTTACTCCAGTTGAAAAGTTAAATACTATATTGTAAGTATATGGAAATCCGAAATTCTTAATTAGAACCAAAACTGGTAATAAAATCAAGATTCAAGTGAAGTTTTAACAAAATATTTTGTAGTTTTCTTAACAGAAGATAATTTTTTGATTGCCAAAATGCTTATTATGACCATGTCTGAAATACACAACCAATTCTAATTACAGCAATAAAAGATGTTCAGATTCCTTCCACTAAGGTCTTTTGAGAACCCACACATTTTATATTAATAATAGATCACTGCTTTACAGTTTGTTTTTGTGTATTGATAAAGTCAGTCTTAATTGCAAATTCAAACATCCCCACTGAGAAAAAGCCTCCAGTTGAAAAAGCAAGAGAAAGAAATTACAACATACCAACGCAATCCTCTTGTTTGTTTTCAGCTTGACATCTAAGACAGGCATCTAAAAGCAAACAAACAGCAACCTCTCATTCTCGATGCTCGGAAGGAGTTTAAAAACCCCATACACTTCAAAGTCAAGAAAAACCCTACGGTTAGAGATGGAGATAAGTCAGACTCATACTATTAATTTCTCATCTGAACATATCTAAAGAGGAATAAGTACAAGGCATTCTACTAATTGACTTATGGCCAGGAGCTAGGGTTAACAACCCTGTTTTCATAAGCTCTGATAAAAAGATGTCCTGACAGCAGCATCAGAGAAAACCATAGAGAAAAACATGCCATATTCCTTCACTTGCATTAGAAGTTACTGGGCTCACACAGGGCAACCGTAGTAGTTTTCAAGACACTTTTCTAAATAAGCAATGCGTCTACACTGGCATGTGCTTACATCTATGTAAAGCAACCCTAGAAGGGTGCCTGAGAAACCAGCAATAAAGTTTCCTGGGAGAGGACTGATTGGGGGGTTCCAACCATATACCTTCTAAAGACTTTAAGTCATGTGACCATGGAACCTACATAAAAAATTAAAAAGTCTGATTCGGGGGGGCTGGCAGGTGGTGTGGTGGTTAAGGGCACTGGACTCCCACATGACCGACTGTGGTTCGCATCCCAGACCTGGTGGCTTGCTTTCTCACTGTCTGTCTCTCTCTCTCTCTCTCTCACTCTCTGTCCCTTTCTGGTCAAATTAAAATAAATAAACAAATAAGTAGATAAAGTTAATTCTTTAAAAGATTTCTAAAAGAAAAAACTTCTAAAAACCTGATTCATTAGCAAATTTTCTTGAGTCATCCATAATTACTGATGCTGAAAAAAAAAAAAAGACCTCCTCCTTATTTTTTTTGCAGAAGACACCTGAGAGTTCTTTTAAAATGAACTTTTTGGTATGCTTCCAATAGGTCATTACTGGTGTCATTCAAGACCAGTGCAAAGGCAGCGAGGCCCCGGAGGGAGGGCAGGGGCTCTGGAGGGGCACAGGCAGAATCAGGGCCTGCCTCCCTGGCATGTACTAGTTCCATGCCCCTGGACAAACGACGAGCCTCTATGGGCTCAATTTCTCCATCTGTAAAATAAGGATCAGACCACAAGGCACGTGTGCATTAAGTGGGGAAGAAACACACCTATGAGAACATGACCGCTAAAACATGTGAGTGGTGGGTACCCCTAAATACTAGGGTTTTTCTTTTTTTAAAGCAAATATTCCCTTCATAGATAAGTTTGGGCCCAAAGCAACTACCCAACAATGGCAAAGCATTGTAACAAGCCACTTGGGAGTAAATACTAGGAATGGGAAACTCAAGGGTAAACGGAAAGTTTTTCAAATTCAATCTGTCCTACTCAGATGGCGGGGGCGATACAGAATATTTTAGAGACCCATGAAATGGACTCGTTGACTAGCTGAGGTCAAAGCTGGGTAAACGGAAGTTCAAACCAACAGAAAAAATAGTTTTTTTAACATAAATAGGAGAAAAAGAATTCTGTAAAAATAGCACCTCAGTGCAGCTGAAGCCTGCTTCTCTGCTTACACGGGATTATGCTCGGGCGTCTCGGCATGCTCTTAACCTTAAGAAAACACCACCACCCTGGCCTCTGCAGTGTGGATTAAAAACAACCACTGCCTCCTGAGGCTTGCTTCAACTCCACAATTACTGAGCATCTGCTTGGTGCAAGCAGCTTCCATGGAGGGTGCCAAACGACCAGGGTGGGGCCTCAAGAGGCTCACCAGCAAATAGAGAAGGAGTCACCAAAGGATCAGGCACCAGAAGGCTGGTGATGGGTCAGTGCAGACAGCCATGTCTCTGTGATCCTGTTCTGTTCTGGGCAATCATGGAATTCTGGGAATATCAGGGTTGGTGATTCTAGCTCCTCCTTTTACAAATTAGGAAACGAGGCTCCAAAAGCCTATAAACATGTAACATGTCCAGGTTAACGCATAGTCATGAAGGCTCTGCTACTTTTACAACCTGGCCACAAGGGCAAACCGACTTCCCTCCTCATCGACTTCCCTCCTCATCGGCACTTGCTCCGGCCACCTGCTCCTTTCACAATGGAGAGAGAGAGGGGACCTAGGACAGAGCCCCACATCAGGACGGGCTGCCAGGCACTTCTCAGAGCTGGTACAGACTCAGGCGGGAGATAAACCTCAACATTAAGGGAATGGGACCAAGTGGGTTACTGTTGCTTGCAGTGGGTTCTAATTACAGCTGATTTAGATGGTCAAAAATTAACCCCCAACTACATAAATGTCTAAAGTTTCAGAAAGAAAAAAAAAAGATTAAATGATGTTCCTAGTATTTAGAACAGCACATTCCTAATGAGTACAACAGCAGCACCTTTTAGAATGAAGCTATGGTAAGGACTGGGAAGTCCTCCTGCCATCACCTGACCACTAAGTGGATTTTAACATCTCATAAACAAAATGCAAAGGTCCTGTCCAGAATACTTTCCGGAACCCAAAGTACACTGCTGTAAATACGCAATAACAATCCTGCACCAGCAGAATACCTGCTATAATTAGAAAGCTAAGATGAATGTGAGTCTTTTATAGCCCATACTTTGGCCTACTTTTAATACCCCAGTGAAGTTTATTGCGAAATTTCTATCACCATTTCAAGTTCTGCATTTCCACTTACTATTTAAAGGTTTTTTTCCTTTGGGGAGAAAATAAAATTTTAAGAGTGAGTTCCTTTTCAAATGCCCTTTGGGGAACATTCTTTTTCAATTAAAAAGAAAATAAAAGAAAGCTTAGTTTCCTTTAAAGGAAATTGTACCCACATCAGCAGCACAAAGATGAAAGGAAATTTAGGGGATAAAAATTTTAGCAAAGCTTGCTGTCCTGCAAAAGAACAGAAAATTAAGTTTCAGTAAAAAATGCCTCCCAAATTAGTAATTATGATTCTAGTTCTTAAGTAAAGGTTGGAGAGAAGTTGAGGGGTGAATCCCTGTTACTGGCAAATAATCTGGTTAACTTAAAAATCTAATATGCCAAATAAGTAAGTCGTGTCTAAAATCAAGCTCTTTCAAAAGTAAAAATAATAATAATTATTATTTGACTGTTACAATTCTTCTTTGAAAGAAACCCTTATCAATAAAAGACAAAAAAATAAAAAGCAAAATTTGAGAAATCATTTGAGTTTTAAGTCTGATTCAGGCAGTTTTCAAAGTAATCTCTATTTTCTTCAACTATCCTCAAGAAACACCGTTTACGATGCTCCCACGGTAATTTTAAATGTTCTATTTAAAAACGTAATTCGCATTTAAAGAGCACCTGTTTTTCGAGATGCTCTGAGACCATACAACAGGAACTAGCTAACACATAACGGAATTAAACTGTTCTAAAACATTCACTTGATTTCATATTTTTATCCAAGGTATTATAGAAAGGCTTATTTGTGAAAGAGAGTTCTCCATAAGAGGCACGATAGGGCAGGCCATTATCTTCTCCAGGAAATGGCACGTTATGCTGGGGAAGGGAGGCAAGACGGATGTGAAGTTTTCTGTTTATGAATAAAGGGTTTACATTCTTCAATTCCCACCGACTTAAATATTCTCGGACCACACCGTATCCCCTTCGAGCGGAGCGAGGGCTCTGTGACCTGCCTTCCATCTACCCAGATTTAAAGGCCCGGCCAAACAGCACGCAGTGGCTAATCCGGAAATGCAAAGGCTGGGAGCGCTTTCCTTCCCGGCGCCCACGGAGCAGCGCTGAGGGCGTCGTTCACGCGGGCGGTGCCGCCCGAGCATCACTCAGGAGTGTGATCAGCACCATTAAAGGGCACGGCTGAATCACGGCCTGCACCCTGACCCCTCTGCGGTTGGCGGCTGGGGCTGGGGCTGGCCGCACCGGCCGAGGTCCCTCCCAGCCCCCATCTCGGCCACTCCCAGCACTACCTGAAACCACCTCGCTAACCCCTCCGCTCGTCGCCGCGGGCTTCCCTAG